GAGCCTGGATTCGGCTTTAGGTTGGCCAAGCTCACACGCGGCAGGGCCCGGAGCAGGTCCAGGGCCCTTGCCCCACCGCCCTGCACGGGACCGGTCATTACCCGCAGAGCCAAGACCCTCCAAGGGCGCCCGGGGTGGCCTCACAGCCCACGTGGTCTCGCGGCGCTGCCTTACGGCCGCGGCACCGCCCCCGTCGTACCGCAGGAACTGCTGAACTCTCTGTCGCGGGGCGCGCCTGTGTCCAGGAGTAATCCGATAGCGTCGGAAATTTTTCTACGTTGTTGTCTCGGTGTAGCTCAACATTTTTCTCTTGTTTTTAGTTCACTGGGGATGTGAGCATAGTTAGAGGTCGTGCGTTGACCTCGTCTCTGAACGTACGTTTCCTCCCGCTTCGTAAAAGCACGCATTGGGAAAACGCTGTGCGGTAGGGAATCTGAGTCAGTGTTTGGCCTGACATGTTTTGTCCTGGGGTCTTGTAGTCCTTATGAGGCAGTGTGTTCTGAGCTCCACGTAGAGCCCGGAATAAAATAACGTGAGCGCTAAACCATTAGTTTTGAGCTTGAGATACGAAAATAATAGTTTTGAGCATGAGATACGAAAATAATACCCAGGGTCCAGCTTTTTAAATGCCTGGCTAGGGGTGCCTGGGGTGGCTCTGTAGGTGGAGCATGGGACTGGTGGTTTTGGCTCAGGTCACGAAATCCGGGTCCTGGGATGAGCACCGCCCCCCACCCCCACCTTGGGCTCCGAGCTTAGCGGGGTGTCTGCTTGATTTTCTCTCTCTCCCTCTGCGTCTTCCCCAGCTTGAGCGCGACTCCTCTCTCTCTCTAGACTAAATAAATCTTTAAAAAAGAAAATGCCTGGCTAATACCAACCTGTGAATAAGACTCAAAACTATGCGTTCTCTTCCCTGTGCATCTACAGCTATTGCTTTGCCGGAACCACTGAGATAACTAACTTCACTTAGTTCACTTACTGTTAGGAGCCCTACAGGCGCTCTGTATGTCAGACGCGTTGAGTGAGCCTGATTAGATTTATCTAAACCACCAGTCCTAGAGGTAGATATTTGTATTTTTTACAGTCCGAGAAGGTAAGGCTCGGCAAAGTCAAGTAGTTGGACCAAGATCTGACAACAAACTGCAGAGCCAGGATTCACTTCTACTGCCTTACAAAGCAGTATTTTTTTTTAAATATAAAATTGAATATCTACAGCACAAAACACATACCATTATTTTCACTCAAAAAATATCAGCTTCCCTATTTTTGTCTTAAGGGAGTATAATATAGAAGACCATATTCCTTTTTCTTTCTTTTATTCTTTTTACATTTCACTGTCTTGCTGTGGAGTTGTTCTTCCTGATTCCTATTAGTGATACACATAGTAAAGGTGAAAAATAAACTTTTTGAGGGGAACTACTATGTTTGACTAAACCTTTTTGAAGTTATTTTAAATCAAATATAAAATAAAGGTGCCATTTATTCCTTTAAGCAATATTTATGAGCAAGTCACTAACGTGTTACCAAGAAATATACATAGATGAAGTCAAATAGGATCTTGCTCCCAGGTTTTTTTAAATCTTGGAGAGGAAACCTAACAAAATTGAGTATTTAAAAAAAAAATTGAGTATTTTTGTAAAGATTTTATTTGTAAGTAATCCCTACACCCAACATGGGGCTTGAATCCACAATCCTGAGATCAAGAGTTGCTGGCTCCACCAACTAAGCCAGCCAGGCGCCCCAAAATTGAGTATTTTTTAAAAGGTAAAGGAGCACCGGGGTAGCTCAGTTGGTTAAACCTCTTCCTTCTGCTCAGGTCATAATCCCAGGGTCCTGGGATTGAGCCTCAGGTAGGCTCCCTGCTCAGCAGGGAGTCTACTTTTCCTTCTCCCTCTTCCCTTCCACCTTCCCCTCCCCTGCTCATTCTCTCTCTCTCAAAAAAAAAAAAAAAAATCTTTTTTAAATGAAAATAAAAGAGAAAAATACAAATATGACTATAAAACAATACACAGTACAGACTCTATATGGAAGTACAAAATACAGAAAAAAAATAAAGCTAGTTCCTGACTTTAAGGGTTTCAATTCAATATATTTCATCATTTTTTGTTAGAAATTTCATATACTTCTCGGAAGAAAATTGAAAAATATGTTGCACAATATGCCCTAATCACAATTTTTTTCTCTACCTAGAAAATCATTGCTTGCATTAAGTAATGAATTTCTGGATGAGTGTTAATACTAATAACATTTTTTAATCAGACAAAAACTTTTATTGAATAAATGAGATACAGGAAACATAAAACAATGTGCTGCATTTCTTGGTAGTAGATGTTCTACATTGTGTAGGTTACATAATGTTATTATTAGGCATCAGTTAGTAGTGGAAATAATTGTCATTAATTGTAGGCTACCTGTTTTTTTGTTTTTTTTTTATATGTAGGCTACCTGTTTATCCCATATCCAACATGTTGATGAAGCATATAAAACTGTCAATTTGATGAGTATCATCTGTGTTGTAAAAACTAAGGTTGTGTAGTAAATAAGTCATTCATCCTTACCTCAAGCCTGTATAAGTTTTACAGCATCATTATTGCGTGAGAACATTTGTTAAGCACCTGCAAGACTATACTTTCAGGAATCATTTCTATAGTTTGTTAAGCACCTGCATGATTGGGATATTACACTATACCCTGTTTATATCTTTAAGTAGACCTTGTAATAATAAGAAAACATCTCAATAACTATCCTGATTCCAGCCTGGGTTAATAATGACTACTGAATCATTATATAAAAAGAATGAAATGAACCCTGTAAAGATGGTATAATTTGAAATCCCTTGGGAAGGCCTCTTTCTCACACTTCTAAATAATCTTCCCCAAGTTATCCAAGTGCCTTTAACAGTCCAATACAGATTAATTCCTTTGAACTCATTTAAAATGAAAATTCTCCGAGTAGAGAATAAGAGTGGGGGGTGAAAATAAAATGGGATAAATTCATCATGCAACGCACTTTTTATGAACCATAATGTAATATACTATGAAGTGAAGAGTCTGATCCACTTACCTTTGTTTCTGATATTAAAATGCAACAAAATAAAAACATGCACATAAAACTCTTCCTAAATGAGATCACACATTAAAGAATATTTTGGCAGGGATGGGAACAGGAGGAAAAGAATTTCAGTTATTAGATTATTACTGATTTGTACCATGAGCCAAGGACAAGTCATTTTTAGAATGAGCCCAAGAATAGGCTTATTTTGTGTTTACCAAAGTTGAGAATCGGAAAACAACTGGAGATGAGATTTTCCTTAGTGAAGAGGGGAGGAAGTCAGGGCAGGAGAGCAGTATATCCCTTTGATATTGGGAGGAAACAGTACCCAGAGGGCTAAGAAGAGGGCTTGGGAAGGGGATAGAAAAAAATGTCACTTTCATAAACCTACCTACTTTTATCAAAGGTTGGTCCGGACATAGATCTTCATTCACACTTAAATGGTTTTTGTTTTAATTTTATTAAAGTGTAGTAAGGCATACATTTGTTATGAGAAAAATCAAATAGTAGAGTCTCAATGAGAAACCATAGGCAATTACTTTTAACTCTCTGTTTTTATTTCATCTGGTGATTGCCTCCATATTTATAATTTAAAATATCTCTATCACTAATTGATCAATTTTTGACATTGTATATTCACCTGTCTTTAAGATAGATGAAGATTTAGATCATTTAAACTACTTTCTAGTATTTCAGTGCTCTCATGGTAAATGTGTAATTCTTTTTTAAGATTTTTATTTATTAGAGGGGTGCCTAGGTGGCTCGGTTGTTGGGCATCTGCCTTCGGCTCAGGTCATGATCCCGGGGTCCTGGCTCAGCGGGAAGACTGCTTCTCCCTCTCCCACTCCCCCTGCTTGTGTTGCCTCTCTCGCTGTGTCTCTCTCTGTCAGATAAATGAACAAAATCTTTAAAAAAAAAAGATTTTATTTATTAGCGAGAAAGAGAGTGAGCACAAGTGGGAGGGGCAGAGGGAGAGAGAGACTCTCAAGCAGACTCCAAGCTGAGTGTGGAGCCTGATTCGGGGCTTGATCCCAGGACCCTGAAATCATGACCTGAGCGGAAACCAAGAGTCGGACACTTAACCTACTGTGCCACCCAAGTGCCCCAGTAAATGTGTAATTTAAATAATGTGTGTACTTAAATATCTATTTCTTGAATTTTCAACTATCAAAAGTACACAGTAGCTCCTCACTCTATGTAAGATGAAGATACTGACACATCTAACCTCTCACACCTTTTTGCCCCCTCTACTTATAACTTCTTTTAGCTATATATTTTCTTTAACATTGTCATGGATATAAACAAGGAGCTACAATTACTGTACTTGCTCTCTCTCTAGAGCAATTTTCAGTATTTCTCTCTTTCAGGGCCACAAAGAACTGGCTTTCAGGCTGACAGGCTTTCTTTAAATTCAAGATCACTGACCCCAAATTGGTCATCTTATTTCAATGTTCTAGAAAACTTACTTTTTCACTCTCCACAATGATTATTTTGTACCTTCTTTCTCAGCCAATGATTTTCCCTTCTGCTTCAGAAAAAGAAGTCATGAGGTAAGGCATTTTTCCACATCCTGCTGCTAAATTTAAAATCCTTCCTATCATTGCATACATCTTCTGTATATTAATTATACCTCAATAAAGCTGAAAAAAATCGAAATTCTCTGTTCTAGTGCTGTGGTGCCTGGGTGACGCAGTTGTTTTAAGCACCCAACTACTGGTTTCGGCTCAGGTCATGATCTCAGGGTCCCAGGATCTAGACCCGAGTCAGGCAGAGTCTGCATGAGATTCTCTCTTCCTCTCCCTCTTCTCCTCCTGCTTGTGTTTCTTCTCTCCCTCTCAAATAAATAAATAATTTTTTTAAAAATGAGTGCTTGTAAGCATTCAAGGCAGTTGACCGCTTTGTCCTTGAAATACTTTCTTTGGTTTTCTGGATAGCCCACATTTTTGGTTTTCTTCTTCCATACTGTTTGATCTTTTTCACTTTTACTGGGTCCTGCTAAACTATCTGCCCTCTAAATGTTTAAATTTATATTTTCTATGCAGATATTCTCTTAAGGTGATCTTAAATGGTTTATAAATTCTCAGATTT